AAAAAAAAAAAAAAAAGAAATAGAAAATCAGTGTGTGCTTAAGACTGAGCAGAGGGAAGATTGAAAACAGACACAAAGAAACTTTAGAGGACAATGGAAGGATTCTAAAAGTGAAGTGTAGTGATGGTTGTGCAACTGTATAAATGTAGTAAAAATTATTGAAGAATAATCCGCTTATAGTGAGTAAATTGTGCAACATATACCGCAACAAAACTGTGAAGAAAAATAGAATTTTAACCCCTAAACAGTTAAAATAAATATCAAATTAATAGACTCCGACTACTCTAACAAAAAGCAAAATGGGAGAAAAATAAACAATGAAAGAAAAATACACAGAGTAAATACAAAATAAAGTGGTAAGGCTGGGCGCGGTGGCTCACGCCTGTAACCCCAGCACTTCGGGAGGCTGAAGCAGGCAGATCACTTGAGGCCAGGAGTTTGAGACCAGTGTGTCCAACATGGTAAAACCCCATCTCTACTAATAATACAAAAATTAATGGGCGTGGTGGCATATGCCTGTAATTCAAGCTACTTGGGAGGCTGAGGCATGATAATCACTTGAACCCAGGAGGCAGAGTTTGCAGTGAGCTTAGATTGTGCCGTTGCATTCCAGCCTGAGTGACAGAGCAAAACTCTGTCTCAAAATAAGTAAATAAATAAAGTGGTAACGTTTGTCCACACTTATCACAACTGCAAACATTGTAAATAAATATTTGCTGATTTAAAAAACAATCTTTTTTAAAAACTAACTTTATATTGAATTTCTAAGAGATCATTTTATTAAAAAACAACACAGATTGGAGCTCAAAAATATGGCACAGTCCAGAATGTGGCTTTGAGAATGGGCTGTTGGAATAATTGAAGGAAGTCAAGAAACTTCAAGATCAAGATTGACTATTAGGCCATGTGCAAAGGCTCACATCTGGAATCCCAACACTTTGGGAGGCCTGAGTCCAGAGTTCAAGACCAGCATGGGCAACCTGGCAAAACCCTGTCTCTACAATAAATTTAAAAATTAGCTGGGTGTGTTGGCATGTGCCTATAGTTCCAGCTCTTCAGGGGACTGAGGCAGGAAGCCTGATTGAGCCTAGTGGGGGTCAAGGCTGTTGTGAGCCAGATCACACCACTGCACTGCCGCCTGGGTGACAGAGCCAGACCTTGTCCGGAAGGGAGGGAGGGAGGGAGGGCTAGGAGTGGTGGTGAAGAGGGAGACCCAGGTATCTCAGATCAACTTCCCCTTTTCATTCCTAAGACTGTAAACCGAAGCCCTTTTCATATGTAATTCCTGAGACTATGAACTGAAACCCTTTTCATATGTAATCACTAAGACTGTAACTGAAACCCTTTTCATATGTTAAGCTATAAACCTAAGATTCTTCCACGTGTAACATCGAAAGTATAAGCCTATATAAAGACGGAACCTTCCTTTGTTAGGGGAGCTTAGCTGTTAGGCACCTATGCTACCTTGCTCCCAGCCAAATATCCTCCTATATTCGGTGTCCAAGAGATCCGTTTCCCGCAGCCGCTCCTGCTACAGTGGCTCACGCCTGTAATCTTACAGGAGGCTGAGGCGGGTGGATCAACTGAGGTAAAGAGTTTGAGACCAGCCTAGCCAACATGGTGAAACTCCGTCTGTACTAAAAATACAAAAAATTAGCCAGGTGTGGTAGCAGGCACCTGTAATCCCAGCAACTTGGGAGGCTGAGACAGAAGAATTGGTTGAAAACAGGAGGTGAAGGTTCCAGTGAGCCGAGACCATGCCGCCGCATTCCAGCCTGGGCAACAGAGCAAAAAACGCTGTGTCAAAAATAAATAAATAAATAAAATAAACAAATA